CAAGATATTTCCTGAGGAGCATAAAAACAGATAGCACTGGCTGGCACTTCAATGTGACAGTAGAAACTCTCTTGGTACCACAGAGCTTCTTGAATATGCCAGGGGGAAATATTTGCCAGAATCGATGATTACCTTTTTTTTGCTCCCTCTTGGCCTCTCTTTGCTTACATGCTGTCCTTCAAATATTGGAACTATATGGTTATGCTATCAGACCACGACTGAGGAAGGATGTATATGGGTCCAGCTGTAGAGAATTACAGACTCATAGGCTATGAGAGTTGGAAGAAAGTTCTTTTGGAAGATATTGAGACCCAGAAAGAGAAAGTGACTTGCTTAAAAGTATATAACTGGTTACACCAGTAGAACTGGGGCTAACATCTAACCTTTGGGCCAATACTTTTGGGGACAGAGAGTCACATTGTCAGAGCAGAGCAGAAAGAGCCTTGGGAGAATAATAGTTCTGTTTTCCTAAGAAAAAATTTGACTTCTACTTACGAAATTAATACTGGGTATTATAGAAAATTTGGGAAATACAACACACACACACACACACACACACACACAGTCTACCAGTTAGAGTTTTGGGCAAGAAAGAGAAAACATCCAGCTTGGATTTTGAAGATAAGTAAATGAAGGAACTATTAATAGATTTAAAGGAGCCAATAAGGGATGTTGGGATACCTAGGGACTAGCAACAGTGGGTAGGGGGAAGAAAAAGTGTATCGGAGCTCAGGGAGAGCTAGAGCCATGGGAGAAGCACCAGCCATCCAAAATTGTAATCATAGAAGGTGTGGGCAAAGGATTTACCAATCTTTCCCCCTTGGGCATGAGAATTTGAGCTATAGTTAACTTCCTCACTGTTTCCCTGGCAGTCTGATGAAAGTTGGAACATTAACAATGTTAGAAAGCAACTTTGCTTATGCTAAAAATGATGTGGGATTGGGAGAATTTTGAAGACTTGGTGGGGAAGCCATACCTTAGGTCTCTTTAAGTGCAGTGATTCTTGAGACTGGCATGTCCCTTGCCAGGACCCTGTGGGGGTGTGTCTGTGGTGTCATTTCAAGAGGTGATATTCTTTTTTTTTTTTTTTAAGATTGTATTTATTTATTTGATGGAGAGAGACAGCGAGAGAGGGCACACAAGCAGGGGGAGTGGGAGAGGGAGAAGCAGGCTTCCTGCCGAGCAGGGAGCCTGATGTGGGACTCGATCTCAGGACCTAGGACCATGACCCAAGCCAAAGGCAGGCGCTTAATGACTGAGCCACCCAGGTGCCCCAAGAGGTGATGTTCTTAAGAGATAGGAAGCTTTTAAGCCAGGGTAGCCTCCTTGCCTCTTGCACCTGAACTGCCATGGCATGGACTGCAGCAGAAACTCTCCTTGAGGAGAGATTCCTGACACTGCCCTGCTGTGTTTCCTGTCCTCCGAAGAAGGAGGAAGAAGTACATTTCTCTCCACGTGTTTGAGCATGAATATTCATTTGAATCTAAGAAAACTCTACTGATGGGCACCTGATGGGATATATTGCTGCCAAAACCATCATGCCAAAGCAGGGAGGAGAAGGGGAAAAATACTGCAAGCTCTCTCTTTTCCCTCCCTCCAGTCTCTTGCCACATTGGTTAAATCTAACCACAAGACAGAGGTCAAGAAGAAGGAGTCCCATAGTCCTAGCTTGTGTCAGATGTTTCCCATAGTTTGTTAGTTTATCATTCTCATGTTGAAGGACATTCGCCTGTATGCATAAAGCTGCTATGAACATGTGTGCACAAGGCTTCAGTCATATATTTTCTTTTCTCTTGGATATAGACTCACAGGAGTGGAATTGCTGGGTCATAGAATGGACAACATTGAACTTTTCAAGAAACTACCAAACAATTTTCCAAAGTGGTTGTACCATTGCATACTTCCACCAATAACACCTGAGAATTCCTCTTAGTCCACACCTTTCTAACATTTGGTGTTAACAAGTTTTTTTCATCTGGGTCAGTTTAGTGGCTGTATAGTGATATCTGATTGTGATTTTAACTTACATTTCCCTGATGACTTAATGATGCTAGGACTTCTTCATGTGCTTATTTGTCATTCACATATCTTTTATGAAGTATCTATTCAAGTCATTTTAAAGCTAGATTTTTTTTAGTATTTATTATTTATTTTATTATTGAATTGTGTGAGTTCTTTACATATTATGGATACAAGTACTTTGACAGGTTTGTGTGTTATAATACTTTACTCTCAGTCTGGATTGCCTTAATGGTGGCTTTGAATAAGCAAAATTTAATATATTGATGAAGTATGATTTAGAACTGTTTTTCTTTCTGTGTCTTTTCTTTGCCTACTCAAAGATTTTAAAAAAATCATAGTTGTAGATTATTAAAATGCTGTCCTTTTTAAAAAAGATTTCCATTTAAAAATGAAATCCAGTTTGGATATTTTTCATCTCACTATGTTTTATAGACTAAATGTTTGTGTCCCCTCAAAATTTATATGTTGAAATCTCATCCCCAGTGTGATGGTATTGGGAGGTCAGGACTTTGGGATGTGGTTAGATCATGAGGGTAGGGCCCTCATGAACAGGATTAGTGCCCTTATAAAAAAGACCCAGAGAGTTCCTTTGTCCCTTCTGCCATGTGAGGACCCAGCAAAGAAGATGGTCATCTAGGAACCAGGAAGCAGCCCTTTACCAGATACCAAGTCTGCCAGTGCATTGATCTTGGATACCCAAGCCCCCAGAATTATGTTTCTGTTGTTTAGAAGTCACCCAGTATGTGGTCTTCTGAAACAGCAACTCAGAAAGACTGACACACTGTGTATCCTACTTCAGAGTAGGGGTATCTTTATGAAAGTTCATGAGATCCTATTTGCTTAAAGCTGCAGAGGGACCTTTATACCATCTTGTCCACATGCCTCCCTAACATTAGGTTTCTTTCTTAAAAAAATTCCTGATAATAATTCACCCTCTGGATGCTTCTAGAGATTGAAGCTACCAGAAGTGAGTCCCCTTTTGGGGAATACAAAATGTAAAAGAATCGCTTCTTGAAATTAAAATACTCTTTCAATAGTCTCCTTATTAGAATTTTATACAATATAAATTTCATTGACACATTAATGTGATAAGAGTTCTGAGAACCAAATCACAGTTGACCTTTGAACAATGTGGGGGTGAGGGGCACTGACATCCTCTCCCCCCAGTGCAGTTGAAAATCTGTGCATTACTTTTGACTTCCCATAAGCTTAACTGCTAATAGCGCACTGTTGACCGGAAGCTTTACCAATACACAAAGAGTCAATTAACATATTTTGAATGCTGTATGTATCATATACTGCATTCTTACAGTAAAGAAAGGTGGAGGAAAGGAAATCATAAGGAAGAGAAAGTACATTTATAGTACTCTGTTTGCTGAAAAATAATCTGCATGAAAGTGGACTGAGCAGCTCATACTCATGCTGTTCAAGGGTCAGCTGTACAGTCTATGGACCAGTGTCCATACGGCTTCAGGAGTACAGTGATTGGGATCAGTCACGATCCCTGTCTGAGCAGCCGCAGTGTGGTAAGTGCAATGAGGAACATGTGGCATGATCAAGATAACTGCCCTTCCTAAGTATGTCAGGGAATATTTCACAGGGGAAATACACTTGTGCTCGAACAGAGTAGGAGTGTTCATGAGGAGCTGGAGGAAAGAGGCATGGAGAGGTGGAGAACTAGGAGGAGTGAATATTGCCGTGCCTTTGGGTCTGAGACCCAAGCAGTGGGAGATGAGACCGGAGAGCTAGTCCAGGCACAGCTCAGGAATGGGTGAGGACTTTGCACCTTGCTCTGTGGCTTCTCTGCAGAGGCTGGAGTGCATGGGGAGACTGGTGGCTCTCAGACCAGTGCAGAGGCCCAAGCAGTAGCTTACGGTGACAGTTCTCAAATTTTCAAGTACTTGTGCTTCAGGCTGTCAGTCCCCCATTGAGTCGGAATGTCCATGGGGAGGGGGCCTTTGAAGATTTTCCCAGGCTCTGTGGGTGGGTCTGAAGCACCCTGGGTTTTGAAAATCACTGGTTCAGGGCAATGATGAGGGAGTGAGAAAGAGAGGAGGGCCTTGATTAAGAGGTAGTAGAAAATGAGATGGCGACCAACCATCTGTAAGGCGTGAGAATGTGGGAGAATTCCGGTTTGAGCCACTTCAGACATGACATCGATGTCAGGCATCTGAATGGTAACATGGAGTAGGAGATCTGTGGGAGAAAATTGGAAAGTTCAGCTATAGATATAAGGCCAACTTACTGTCAAGAAATACCTATTTTTATCACCTAGAAATAATATTAACTTTGGGAGGTTATGGTTCTGTCCATTCAAATAATGCTGATAATAGTGAAATACTTTCACCATGTAGTTCATATTCTTTTCAAAGGACATATTTCACTCACATTTGTTAGGCACTAAGATTTGTTGCATGCTGACTACGTAGTGTGATGACTTTTAGGCTAGATATTATTATCATTCTGCAGATGATGAAACTGAAGGTCAGAGAGGTTAATTGATTTCCCTAAGACCATCTTAGTCAGGAACCAGGTAGAGCTAGTATTCAAAACTCTTGACTTTGCCGAGTCCAGTTCGCTCTTGAACCTTGGTCTCTCATAGCAGGAAAGGGCAGGATTTTTTTCTTGTCATTCATATATAATAAACGTGGAGTCCAGAGAAAGTGTGATTTGCCCATGGTCTTAAGCCGGTAAGTACAGAGTGGGGATGAGAGCCCAGGTGCTGCTTCCCGGCCACTGCTGTTTTCACTTGAACTTCTTGCTTTCCAGATGACTGAGTTTATTTTCCACTTGTTTCATGTACCATTGGACCTTTCCCTCTCAAATAGGAAGAGTTTAGAGAATTATGAATATCATTTTGAAGGAAAGAAATATTGTCTGAGAAGCAAAACCAACCTTCAAAGCTCAATTGCTTCGGAGCAGTGTATGATGGTACATTTTCAGCCTGTGCATGAATTTTTTTTTTTTTTTTTAATTAGGAACCTGACCTTCATGATGATGATAGAAATATGGAAATAACTCCAGGAGAAAAGGTGCTTCGGAACACCAAAGAGCAACGGGATCAGCAAAACCGGCTGAGAGAGATAGATGACAAGCTGAGGAAGCTGAAGGAAAATGTGGTAAGTCTTTTTTTAATTTCAAGTTTAACTGTCACCAATGATTGTTTTAAAAAAAGCTTCCAGTTTCCTTGGACTGTTTTATGACTGGTTTTATATTTTTAAGTCCGTCAAGAAAACTGACATGGGAATTTGTCAGTGAGAATTTGAATAAAAATATGATTCATAGAACTTAAAGTAATATTATACCTACTTTATGTGATATAATAAACCTGTGAAATACTACCTGAGGTCACAATAATGATCCATACGCCTAATATTCTGTGCCTGACAGTGACATAAATTTTTTTTTAATGGAAAGAATTGGTATTCTCCAAAAAATCATCTTTATATATTGAATTTACAGCTTAAATACTCCCACTTTTGTTCATAATTCATAATATATTGTTACTCAGTTTTAATACGTTCTAAATCCTTCTTGTGCCTATCCCATGTTTTAAGAGCTTGTCATGTAAAAACATATTGCTGTTGAGAGAAAGCTCTTCAATCAACTAAATTGTGAGCTGGTTGACGTTCTGAAAGGCTCCATAATATTATGATTTCCCAGCTACCCAGAGGATGCTTCCAACAGGATACTTGGCTTTTCCCTAAAATGAAACATAAAAATGCTCAACTTGTGACTCTCCCTACATCCTCTCTCTGAGGGCTGGTCTCATCCCAATTGCCAGCAGCACCTACTTTCTGTCTCCTACTAAATCCTATTATCTTGGGTGATCTTCAAGCCTCATTAAGTTTTAACCAGTATGGCCAATTTGCTGTCATATCTTGCCACCGTTCTTTATGACTCTGAAAATCTCTCTTTTGTCCTTGTGTGTATCACCCTACGTCAGCATTGTCACCTCCTGTCTAGCCACTTAAACCTGGTCCATCTCTTCTCTCATTATTCCATTTTATATGCTGTTGCATGGATGTAAGCATCAGGTAAGTGATTTTGATTAAATTCTGATCCCCTTAGAGCTCTCCCAGAGTGTGCTCTGATCCCGACGGAGATTTTTTACCTCTTCTGCTCATGTGCAGCTGAATTGCTCTTAACCATTTGCCAGCCATGGACAGCCCCTCTGACTCGGAGCCTAGAGGATAGGCAGGTCTACCTCATGAGAGCCAGGCAGCAGATTGAAGGGGGAATGAATGCATTGTGCTTCTCTTTATAATTCATTTTTGTTTACTTTTCATGGGAAATGAAATGGGAATTGTATTTCAGAGACATCTCCATTTTTATTTCCTGAGGGATTTTTTTCTCCTTGAGGCTGCTGATACAGGGAAGAAGTAGAGAAAGTTAGAATGGTTAGGGAGCGTAAAGAGGCTCTTGGCCGATAGTTGTGGTGGATTGCAAACTTGATATGGTAAATAAAATATTTGTGGCTTGACTGGTTTTGAAAACTGTTGGCACTTCTCATCCCATACCTGCCGATCCAAGGCAGGCAAAGCCTGTCATTCTCCATAATTCAGCTCACTTGATTTCTGACCACTTGTCATATGCCTTGGATGTATATCCATTATTTTCTGGCATGTCTCTACTATTATTTAATTTTTGACTCAAAACCTGGATCCTTTAGGAAAACTTGTTTTCTTTTCCAGTGTCATGTGAAAGTTGGCTAGACTTATAGAGATATGATAAATATCAAGAGTTGGTTGTTATCTAAGTGGAAAAGAATAATACATAAGTAGAGAAGAGCAACTATTGTGTGCCTATAGGGGCAGGCACTGTTCCAAGTACATTATAACTTACTATGTAGTCTTTATTAGCACTCTGTGAGGTAAACACTACTATCCTCACTTTCCAGATGAGGAAATAGAGGTTGAATAACATCCTCAAGCATATGTAGCTACTAAGTGGAAAAGAGAGGATCCAAATGATCAGCTTTTAACAACTATCTTGTTTTACAGTCAATACTTGGAGAAGCTGTTATGATAAAGGCATATGAGTGTTGATCTGTATCATCTTTATGTTTTAATTGCTTAGCATTTCATAATATCCTGTGGATCACATTGTTTACCACATGTATGTACTTTTTAGGGAAGATACAGTGTCTGTTTCAACCTCTGTAAAGCCCATTGTATCTCATAGATTTCTAGGTACTTTGTGGGTGGGGAATCTGGAGACCTGAGTCCTTGTTTCAAGGTTGTCAGTGGCCTGATCTGTCACCTTGACAAGTCACTTAGTCTCTTGGAGCCTTGGTTTTCCTACTTTAACATCAAGGGAGTAGGGCTAGATGACCTCTGTCCTTTTGCCTGTGATTGTTGACATATTTTTGGTGAAAAATGATATTATTGGTAGTATCTAAAGTATCTTAGTGTATATGCTTGCCAACTGTTTGGCATTAATTGGTTTAAATATTTATTGAAAGTTACTTTTGGAAGTTCAGTAACACTTTCTAGGGGAATGTGAGATTGTCTTCCATATATAGAAAAAGGTTAGCCTGCTACCTATAGACCAAAGAATATGTTTTCTGAATGATAGCTTCTGGAAATGGCTAATTTTGCAGTTTTGTCTTATTCTTCCTATTACAAGGGAATATTGTTTCAAGATCACTGATTTGGGTGAAAGCAGTCATCTGTGGCCATTGAACTGGTGATTTAGGGATAAAATTCATACTCAGTTTTAGGGATGCAGTGGGGCAGGAGTGAGGGAAGGGGCAGTGTAGGAGCCCTGGGAATAGTCCTGGAACCACCCGAATCCCAGGTTTGATTTGTCAGTAAAAGCTGGAAAAGTGACTTAATTCTGTGTTTCAGATGGTAGGCTGAGGCTGTGAATGCGCATTTGCCTTGGTCAAGATTGATGGAGGAAGTGGGATCCAGTTTAGTCTGAAGGTGGTAATGGTATTGTTGGTGTTAGTGGATCCAGCTCTTAGGAGCTAGGGAAGGTAGGCGCAGTGAAATGAGGTTGAGGCTCACAAGTTTAGTATGAACTTCAGTGGGCAGACAGGACTCCTGAATTCTAGCTGCATCAGTAGAGGAAGGATGAGCCATGGCTGTTACAAGATGCATATGTGAAACAAATCTTTAGGATTCGCTCACTGTGAGTCAGCAGTGGGATGTAGCAGTTACGCTGCCTATTATGGGAGAGGTGAGCAAAATGGGTCTATGGATTACAGAGCGACAAGAATGAGGAAGAGATTTAAAACCAGGTCCTATGAAGGATTGTTTGTATTTATGGGACTGAGTATATTTATTTAGCTTGGTGAAGAAGAGGGGTGTGTGTGTTGTGGGGAAAGAGGGGATGGTTTGGTAGAAAATCACACAATATTCACTTCCCAAAGATATCTAAAGGACTATTATTTGAAGTATTAGTTTTAATCTTTGATAGCTTAGGAAAAAACATGGTAATTGGAAGGCCATGAAGAGACAGAGTTCTGGTAAATATTAAGGAAGAGTTACCATGATTTGAGTGGGATTGATCTGTCTGGGGCAAGGTTTTCAAGGCTGGAGAGAGTAGAGAGGGTTTAAGTATCAAAAAGGTGGCTGAACGGTGTGGGTCACCTCCAGTACGGCAAATGCGTGGAGGTGCTGTGCACACGTTGGGGGAGGATTTGTGCTGAGCCACTCATCTCTTGCCCGGTTGGTTCCCATGGGCTTAGGAGTATTGGCTTTGACCAGGGATAAGAAGAGCTACTCTGTCAGGCTAACTACTTGTATGGAGATAATTTGAGATGATAGAATCAAGAGAAAATGAAAATAGCTGTATTCATAGAATAGGCAACACAAGATAGACCCCGCCGATGACCTCGCCATCATTTGCCATACAGTGGGCTCTGGTACCTGTCCCCTGATTTCCTGTCTAGCTCAGAGAGTCCCTTTCTGTTGTTTTAGGTGCTCTACAGGCCTTGCTGCCCCTTCACTCTTTGAAACCCACTCTGCTTTATATTTCCTTCCTGGTTTATAGTTCCGCTATGTAAGCTTCTATACATGGGACATAGTGGTTAAGAGCCAACCTTTTTGGGTTTGAATCTCAACTCTGTACTTCCTAGCTGTGTGATCTTGGACAGGTCCCTTGACCTCTCTGTGCTTTAGTTCCTTGATTGGTAGAATGGGATAGTTATAATTAATACCTATCTTATAGGCTGTTATGAAGATTAAATTAGTTAACATATGTGTAAAGTGCTTCAAACAGGTTTTGGCACATTTTAAGTGCTATACAAATATTTATTATCAGTATTGTTATTTTTATTATTAACATTAGTAAGGTGGCATTTACGTTTGCTTGTTTCTATGATAATGAGGGGAGCATATAGCAGAGAGGATGAGATTGAAGATGGCGGGGTACCACTTAGAAAAGAATCAAGATGCCCCTTTTCTGACTCAGGGTGAAAGGAGAGAAGGATGGGCCTAGAAAGGCAGGTTTGGAGCTGAAGAGAAAGTGAGAGAGGTCATGCCTACATGTTCTCTAGTCTGTAAATTAGAGATGAAACCATACGATTGATTGGAATGAGAGGGCAGAGTGGGGATGGGACCTTGAAGCAGGGTGGGGAAGGGTTGGAGTAGATGCTGTGAGGAGGAGAGAAGAGCAGTGGTGAACAATGAAGACAGCCCCGCTGAGGTTGGAACCCTAGCTAGGACAGGGAGCCAGCCTGCAGGGCTTGGGGTTTTCTCTGACAGCCCTCAGCAGTCCACCAAGAATGGAGGAAATGGGTCTGGAGTTGAGGCAGGGGTGAGGAGAGGTTGAGTGATTGCAATGCAAGACCAAGGAAGCAAGGGAATTGGTGGTACCTGTGAGACCATACCTGAAATGGGGAAAGGAGACAGATGTAATATGGCTGCCTCAGCTATCAGCGGGGGACCTCTTTGCCCTTCTTCACCCTGGTTTCATAACTTATTATTGTAAACATAGAGTAGAATGGCAGACAGCTATCAAAATATGAGGTAGATCTATATATATTGGAAAGATGTCTGTGATAATAGTATTCAGGAAAAAGAGCCTGTTGCTTAAGACAATAGTATGATTCCATTTTTATTTTTAAAGAGTCATAGAAAAATCCTGGGACGATATATAACAAATGCTAAACAGTGATTACTTTTAGTAGGGATGGGATGGATGGGGAGGTGAAAAAAGGGAATTCACTTTTTATAACATAGACTATTTAAAGGGG